CCCTGCACCTTTCATACTCAGGTTTTAGACAATCTTATATTGAGACGAGAAGTAGTTGTTGCCATTTTGATCAAACCCTGAAATTTACATTTTCTTCATTATTTATAGGCATTCATCTAATAATGATTTTCTGAGTATCATCATCAACATCAGTGTAATTGTTAGGGCTGGACAATATGGCTAAAATTTATATCACAATATAACGCCTAATATTAATTGATAAAGTTTAATTTTGATATGAATAACTGAATTATATGCCTCAGGTTGTCAGTAATTTATTGCAGGTATCTTGAATTACAGCCTCCATACAACTTCATGGTAAATCTGACATTATTTATACCAGTCAGAATATAATAAGAGATATTTTAATTAAATATGTCTAGTCATATACCAGTTTCAGATTCCTGGAATATAAATGTTGTGAAACCGATTTTATGTACTAACAGCTTGCCAYAATCATTTGTGTTTGCAGCGTCGCTTACACTTTGCTTGACACAGCAGCTGACAAAGAGATGGTGGTGTTTTAGGAAGAGGGCTTAAACCTTTAGTCCATTACATTCATCCTTGAAATGTTCTATCGAGTGGAATTTTAAAAGACGGTGGAACTGATCTGATGAGTTCCTGCTGCGAGTCGGCACCAGGTCTGTGGTCGGCACCACTCTCTGGCACATTTTGCATCAAACCGAAAGCTGAAGTTTATCAGACCTTTGATACATGAATCACCTCCGAACCACTGAATTACAGTAGCCTTTTTTATTTGAACTATTTCTACTTCGTTTTTCCAACTGTGAACACTTGTTCATCCACTGCTGTTGAGCTCATTTTGGCACCGTTATCCATTGTGTTGTAGGTAGCTTGTTGTTAGTGTAAACAGAGAGGTAACATTGAGCCTGTGGTGTACGACATGATACATTAATGTAACATATACTGATCAAATTTCTTTAAAAGTCACATCCTGTTATTGAAATTGTTTCAATCACAATATATTAATATTGAGTTATTGTCCAGCACTAGACCAGGGCTTGGCAATAATCAGATATTCTTGATTACCACATGATCTTGAGTAAAAAATAAATGGTGGTGGTTATACATAGACTCTAAACCCACACAGACAGACAATGACTGAGTCAATCAAATCCATCACTTCCCCTATATTTATGCTGCTGCGCTGTCTGTCACATGACCAGACATAAAGCAAAGCCAAAACAAGAGTCATCGTAAAAAAAGAAAATATAAAAATCATGGTAACAGTGTAGCTGTTTTTGCAAAGAAACGGAAGGATACCTTTGTGTGGAACTATTTCTAAACCATTAAAGATTAACAAGAACAAAGGTGATCGTTCAGTCTGCCTAAAAAAAAAAAAAGAAATGAAACAATGCACATCACCCGGCAGAGTTGTAAAGTAACTAAGTACAAATACTTCTTTACTGTACTTAAGTAGAATTTTTGGGTATCTGTACTTTACTTTAGTAATTATTTTTCAGCCTACTTTTTACTTCTACTTCTTACATTTTCACACAATTATCTGTACTTTCTACTCACTACATTTTTTAAAAAGGCAAGAAGTAGAAAGTTGTTTTCATTCCAGCTTGTAAAAAATAAATACTATCCATATAAATTGGGCCTCCTAGATGCAGTGAATTTAATTATGGTTGAATGAGAAGTATAAATATATAAAATTCTGATACTGTACTAGTTTGTACACAAACAAATCATGTCACACTCTAGCAGGACATAATCATTAAAAGAGGACTGTACTTGAAAATATTTGTATTTCATGAATTATATTATTACATTTGGCGGCAGACCTCAGATCGATTTTCATTTTGGGGAAAAGTTTTGTGCAGCCTTGATATATGTGTATAAACTAAAACAGCTGGCCTAGTGCATCCTAAATTTAACATAAATTACTTATTCTAATACAATATAGTAAGTTCTGCATTTTTTTTGGGGGGGGGGTCACCTCCTAATAAATGTCATTACTAAAATCTAACTGCTCATTTTAAGTCAATACTTTTACTTTTAATACTTAAGTACAAAACATATCAGATACTTAAAGACTTTTACTCAAGTAATATTCCTAAAGGAGACTTTAACTTTTACCAAAGTAAGTTTTATAAGATACTTGTACTTTTACTCAAGTAATATTCCTAAAGGAGACTTTAACTTTTACCAAAGTAATTTTTTGGTAAGATACTTGTACTTTTACTCAAGTATCAATTTATGGTACTTTATACAACACTGTCACCCGATGACTCGTGTGCCAGAGGGTTAAACAAAGATTTCAGTTGTTGTGCCCTTGGGCAAGACACTTCACTCGCCTTTGCCTGCTGRTGGTGGTCAGAGGATCCAGTGGTGCCGGTGCATGGCAGCCCCATCTCTGTGCCCCAGGGCAGCTGTGGCTACAATGTAGCTTACCATCACCGCGTGTGAATGGGTGAATGTCTGTTTAGCTTAAAGCACTTTGGGGTCTTAATGGACTTGATAAATTGCCTTATGAGTTACCATGTGTTATTACTAAAATATTAGCTGAGTTGTACAACAGTCTAAGAGAAAAAAATATGTTGCAGTAGTGGTAGATAAGAAAACCTAGTAAATTTGGAGTGTTTTATTTGATTTTCTTTTTTTAGCATTTTGATCTGCTGCAATCGAACAGCTATAGAGATGTTCATGTCCACTGATGAAACAGAGAAGCTTTCTCAAAAAACACTTTACTTAAACATATCAGGATAACAGCAGACATTTTCTTGTTTGTTAATTTTAATAAAATGACCAAAACACTTCTGAAAGTTTTGAGCTTTGAGTTTACTGTCAGAAGTCTGATGGAGGAAGTGAGGTTAATGGTTAGTTTGGTTTGAACATTTACAGTTATCTAACATGCTAACAGCTAGCTGTAGTTTAGATTTTTTATTTTTTTGCTGCTGCTTAAAACACAATTATTTTAATCATCAGCCTATCATGGTGGAGACACACATATGGAGAGAGAAGATTGAGGACCTCAGTGTACCTTGACAGAATTTGAGTTACCACCCTGGAGCCAGGCCTAGTGGAGAGTTTTTTTGGCAAGAGCATGCTCACCAGGTCTTTACCCATGGGGACCAGTACAGTGCATTGATTTGTCTTCATCCTACTCTTCCAACATGGCTGCCTTCATAAATAGCTCTAATTAGACACTTTCTACAATGAAGAATTAGGTGAGAGGTCACTCAAAGCAGTATTTAAAGCTATAAAAACATTCAAAGCAAACAGGAACAACCCTGACTTTAAAAATAAAGATCACAAAAACATTTGATCATGAAAGGAGGGAGAAACCATTTTTTTCAAATAAACAGTTGGTAAATCCTACCTCGCCCACCTTGGTTTTTTTGTATCTGCTTCTGGTTGATCAAACTATCATTTGACGTTTTTTTCTTCATTTGAATGTCCTACAGGCCAACACCTCTTTCAGAATGTGAAAGTATTGGACGACATTTTACTGCAAAGATACAAAATAAAACGGTTTCACCTGCATTGTTTCAGAGATTCCAGACATACAGTATTCACATTTTATCCAAAAGCTGCAGTGCTCCCTTTGCTGTCAGTGTGGGGATTATTATTTAAAACTGCTGACTGCTATTTTTAGTTTTTGTTTGTTCCATTCAGCAGCTCAGTCCTAAGTGAGGCTGCGTTGGAGCAGAGTATCTGAGATGTGTCTAATGTGTCAGGATAAAGTGAACTTGAAGCAATCATTGCCAATACATTTTTACACAGAATATATTATTCTAATGGTCAGTTCAGTTACATTAATGCATCTGACTGCTCTTCATTTCTGGACTGACTGTTGTTTTTCCTGACAGCTATCTTTTCAAGAATATTAATGATATTCGCATCATTCATTTTCTTTTTAGCATCACCAAGGTCTCACTTTCTCCTCCTCCTCATCACTTCTATCTGCCACATCATCCTCACCTCCTGGATCAACAGCTCCTTGTGTCCTCCAGCTCATTTCTAAAGCTGCCTCAGTATGACTCAGAAAGAGGAGCAAATCTATCAGCAGAGAGAAAATTATTTTTGTATTACTGCAGAAACTGATTTGCACTGCTGTGCTGCATTGCTATTAGACAAAAACTATGATGAGTACTAATGATGTTACTGTCATTATAAATGATCATATTAGGTGATAAAAGACAGAGCTGTGAGAGACCAGGTGTCAGGTCTTACATCTGTGTGGTTAAAAGTACTGAACACCACTGCTGAAGGTGTGTGTGTGCGTGTGTGTGTGTGTGTGTGGTGCAGAAGCTCAGTGGATGACTCATCTCTGCGTTTCTATTTGAGGCGCATCAAACCCTGAAGTCACACTCCTGTCGGTGTGTGTTTGTGCGTACTATGACGTTACAGTCAGTTAGTTGACGAAACACTGAGCTCAAAGGGTTAAAAATGGTTGATCAAGGATGAACAGGGCGGGGCTAAATATTTTAGCTTCTGAGACACAAAACAACAGTGACCATATCCATTGTTGCTTTGAAA